TCGGCCAAATTAATCCGTTATTTTGGCGTATCGTTTACATGACCAGATATTACGTGAATATGATCGAGGGGATGCCCTTCACCCTTGACCATTTGATTAGAATGTACAGTCCCCGACTCTTTTGCGGGGGCTTGATTAAGCTGCATTGCCGGGCCTCGAGGGCCCTCTTTGCTTGCACCGATGAGGTTAAGAATGGGGGGTAGATGAGCTATTTCATCCGAGTTAGGACTTCGGACTTGATTCCCACAGAGAGGATGTAGTTCACCGAAAGATAGAACACGAAGCGTAAGTAGGCATATTTAATTAACTGCCCATTTCTTTCTTTTGGATACATTTCTTCGTGGACTGACTTCCTCCGCTGATACAGCTGTCGCGGCGTACCCTGATGCGGTAAGTAATCTTTCAGGCTGGGTAGCTAAACTGGACTCGATCTGCCCATACGTCGAGCGCGTATGGCACGATTTATACAAGGCTCGATGGGAAGCCAAGGATCACTGTGGGATTTCATTTTCTGCTATAGTTTCAGTTTTACAAAGGTTGTTACTAATTGTACTCTCATTCCCTATGCTTGTTTTTGTACTTGGGCAGGTCTGGGGGAGTTCTTCTTGATGAGAGAAATTCTGCCTGGGAAAGCGGGTGGCCCAACACTCGATGAAGAGAGGAAAAGACGAGGGGGATCGCCGGCTTGTCCTCCGAAATCCAAGAAAACCAGAATGGAAGATCCTATGTATGGTTCAACGGTCTTAATTCTAGAAGGGTTGGGGAGTCCTCGAGCTGGAGGCGAAAGGAAAGATGATCCTTTGTCAGCACCCGAAGGGGGAGAGGATTTGACTACCTCTCATACTATTGAGTTGGCGGCGTTCGAATCGCGGCTCGGTTCCGTCGCTGCACCGCTTCAGGCTGAAGAGGCTTGCGAGGGTATATTAGATGCTATTGCCGACGACCAAAATTTCCCTCGAGCCGAGGTGCTTTTGGCAGGCGATCTAGGGGAGCCCAATTCCGAAGCTCTTCAGAAGCAAGGGGCAGCCCCCATTGGCCTAGTCGATGTCGTTGAAGTGAGTGATTCCCCTTCTGAATCGGCCTTTCCTCCGAGGGAAACACAAGATATCCATAATATAGAGTCTCTCGGCGTGGGGAAGCCCGTGGGTGATAAAGATGTGTTCGAAAAGCCTTCTGCTGCGCCTGAGGAAAAGCCTGAGCCTGATATTTTGCTTATTTTTACCGAGATCGATAGGCTATATGAGCAGGTAATCTATTTGTACACTCTGCTTGGTGCCCCGACCTTTGCCTTTCTAAACTTTTTTCTTCCATGGTTCCAGGCCAAGGTGCTTTATGACCAAACGTTTACCAATTTTGAAGCCGAGCTGACTTGCCGCGAGGGCGAACATAAGAAGCTTACCTGGGAAGCCGATGAGCTCAGGGCTCTTTCTACCAAGAGGGAGGAAGAACTTCATGGCTTTCGGGATTGCTTGGATGCGGCGTCCCGGGAAAAGGCTCATCTTACTGAATAGGTTACATAGCTCTTGTCTATTTTTTGTCTGTATGTCTGACTGAATTCCATATTTTAATATCTTTGGGTAAATTTTCACAGTTTAAGGAGAAGGATGTCCTTATGGGGAAGGAGCTCTGAGCCAGGGACTCTGAAATTCTTGAGCTCAAGCGACATCTGAGTGAGGTAATCTTTGAGAGAGATGTCCTCCGAGAAGAGGTGGTTTCGATCGGGTATTGTCTCGAAGATGCGAGGGCTAAGAGCAACAAACATAAGGATCTCCATGCTGCGTTAGTTGCTACGCTATCCGATGTTAGGGCTGAGGCCGAGGCGCTCGTGACCTTGCATAAGGAGGACGCCGCTACTGCAAATGCTTAGGCTCGGAAGGTGTCCGAAGAAGCCGAGCTGCACCAGACCCAAGCTGTGAATCACGCCTGGTTAGAATCTCAGAGACAGACGCTCGAGGACATACACGTGGGGGGCATGGATTTAATTACCGAGGTTGAGAGGGTGAAGTCCCTAGAAGAGGAAGTTGCGGCCCTGCTTCCTTCCGAAAGCGAGTCGGTCAGCGACTCAAGAGGTGACAAAGATGGAGGCGAGGTCCCTGAAGGGGAGGAGGCCATTGGAAACCCGGAGGCTAAGGCCGAAGTTGCTGAAAGCGTATCTTCTGCCATCGAAGACATAGCTCTGGTGCTAGATTAAGGTTTTCATTTGATTTCTGCCTTTGCAAGGGCTTCCAGATGTAGGCTTTGTATTTGTACTCTTATGTATCTTTTATATGTGTGTCAATTTTTTTACCTTTTTCTGAACTTGTGGCATTTGTTGGCAATTGATCTGAAGTTGTGGGTCTCAATTTTAGACCCTTGGATTCCTGCTACCATCGAGCATTTATCAATGGTCGAGAATTGATCTGTGAGTCTGTCGTATTGGCTCCGAGGTCTTTTGCGCGAATTTTTTAGATTCTCACGCGTCGGGTTGGTATGACCTTTTAATGTAAGCTGGCATCATAGGCTCTTATGCTTTTGCTATTAGGCATATTCGGTTAACTTCTTCGGGTTCAGTCTCCAAATCGGGTTTCGGCTCGAGCTTATTGACCCTTAAATTTTCGAATTTAAAGCTGGCCCTTAGGCTCCTATGCATTAGGTCGGTACGAACTCTTGTATGGGCTGGTGACAGTGGCTCTTACGCATTGAGTCGGTATGACCTCTTATATGGGCTGGCGATAATGGCTCTTACGCATTAGGTCGGTATGACCTCTTATACGGGATGGCGATAGTGGCTCTTACACATTGGGTCGGTATGACCTCTTATATGGGTTGGCGATAGTGTCTCTTACGTATTAGGTCGGTATGACCTCTTATATGGGTAGGAAACAGTGGCTCTTACGCATTAGGTTGGTATGACCTCTTATATGGGCTGGCAGCAATGGCTTTTACGTATTGGGTCGGTACAACCTCTTGTATGGGCTGGCGGCAGGGGCTCTTACGCATTGGGTTGGTACGACCTCTAGTAGGCTTTATTTTTCCCTCGTTAACAACAACAACAACAACAACCTAGTGAAATCCCACTAATGGGGTCTGGGGAGGGTATTATGTACGCAGACCTTACCCCTACCCCGAAAAAGCAGAGAGGCTATTTTCGAAAGACTCTCGACTCAAGAAGACAAAAAGACAAAAAGACAAAAGAAGACAATATTAATAACACCACAGAAATAATATGGAAAAAAAATATGAAAAATAAGAACAACATAAAATCAAGAAGAATGATACAAAGCAAAAGCAAAAAAGTATCCCTACCAAACTAGTCTCACAAAGTTATGGCATAAGATAAGGCTCAACTACCTCCTAACCTACAACCCTAATACTCGACCTCCATATGTTCCTATCAAGTGCCATGTCCTCGGAAATCTGAAGCCTCGCCATATCCTGCCTAATCACCTCCCCCTAATACTTCTTAGGCTGCCCTTTACCTCTTCTCGTGCCCTCCATAACCAGCTGTTCGCACCTCCTTACCGGAGCATCTGGGCTTCTCCTCTGAACATGCCTGAACCACCTTAGCCGTGCTTCCCGCATCTTGTCATCAATGGGAGCCACGCACACCTTCTCCCGAATATCATCATTCCTAATCTTATCCATCCTAATATGCCCGCACATCCACCGCAACATCCTCATTTCTGCTACCTTCATCTTCTGGATATGTGATTTCTTAATCGGCCAATACTCAGCCTCATACATCATGGTCGGCCTAACCACCGCTTTATAGAACTTACCTTTGAGTATTAGTGACACTCTCTTGTCACACAATTCTCCAGATGCTAACATCCACTTCATCCATCCTACCCCGATACGATGTGTAACATTCTCATCGATCTCCCCTCCCCCCTGGATAACCGACCTAAGGTACTTGAAGCTATCTCTACTCGGGATGACTTGTGATTCAAGCCTCACATCCACACCCACTTCCCTCTGCTCAGCGCTGAACTTACACTCCAGGTATTCTGTCTTTGTCCTGCTAAGCTTGAAACCCTTAGATTCAAGAGCTTGTCTCCTAACCTCCAGCCTTTCGTTAACACCGGTTCGCGACTCATCAATCAGAACTATGTCATCGGCGAATAGCATGCACCATGGCACATCCCCTTGAATTTGATGTGTTAACGCGTCTATCACCAGGGTGAATAGGAACGGACTGAGTGCAGAACCTTGGTGTAACCCCATAACAACCGAAAAATCCTCAAAGTAGCCTTCTACTGTCCTAACCCGAGTCTTTTCCCCATCATACATGTCCTTAATCGCCATAATCTAGGGAACTCACACGCCTATTTCCTTCAAGCTTCTCCAGATAACTTCTCTAGGAACCTTGTCATATGCTTTTTCTAGGTAAATAAACACCATGTGTAGGTCTTTCTTCCTATCTCTGTACTATTCAACCAACCTCCTAACAAGGTGTATAGATTCTGTAGTAGAACGGCTCGGCATGAAACCAAACTGGTTGTTGGAAACAGACACCATCATCCTCAACCTTGCTTCAACCACCCTCTCCCATACTTTTATAGTATGACTCAGTAATTTGATAGCCCTATAATTATTACAACTCTAGATATCACCATTGTTCTTATACAGTGGGACCACCATACTCCACCTCCACTCATCTGGCATCCTCTCCGCCTTAAAAATAGCATTCAACAACCTAGTCAACCACTCCAAACCTACTTTCCCCACACACTTCCAAAATTCTACCAAAATCTTGTTAGGCCCGATCGATTTGCCCCTACTCATCTTACTCATAGCTCCCATGATCTCCTCAACCCTGATGTGCCTGCAGTACCCAGAGTCACTATGACTCTCGGAATGCTCAAATTCACCGAGCACAATATCTCGATCCCCTACTTCGTTAAGAAGTTTTTGAAAGTAAGTCTTCCATCCCCTCTTAATCTAGGAATCTTCAATCAATACTCTACCATCGTCGTCCTTGATGCATCTCACTCAGTTTGAATCTCGAGCTTTCCTCTCTCTTAGCTTGGCCAGCCTAAATAACTTCTTCTCCCCTCCTTTTCCCCTAGTTCCTCGTACATACTACTATAAGCCGCAGTCTTAGCATTTGTGACCGCCAGCTTCGCTTCCTTCCTAGCTACTTTATACCTCTCCATGCACGCTCGCCTCTCCTCCTCACCTATTCTCCCCACTAATGTCTGGTACACCTCTTTTTTCGCTACCAATTTACCTTGTGCCACTTCATTCCACCACCAGCCTCCTTTGTGCCTGCCAGAGACGCTGGTCGAGACCCCTAACACCTCTATCACAGCCTCTCTTATATAGTTTGCTGTCGTAGACCACATAATGTTCGCATTAACACTGCTCCTCCAAGATCCCATAGTCGGCAACCGCCCATCCAACTCTTGGGATTTGTCCTAAGTTAAGGTTCCCCACCTGATTCTCGGTCTTCCTCGAGCATACATTTTCCTCCTCTTCACCATAATACTAATGTCCATCACCAAAAGCCTATGTCGCGTCACGAGTATCTCACCTAGAATCACCTTGCAATTCTTGCATAACCCTCTGTCACGCCTCCTGAGAAGGAGATAGTCAATCTGAGTCTTCGCCACCATATTTTGAAAAGTAACCAAATGCTCCTTCCTCTTTGGAAAGCAAGAGTTAGCAACCACCATTAATGAGGTTCCTACTTCATGCCTCTCCCCAAAACCTAAGCCTCCATGCACTTCGTCATATACACCTGTGGTCGACCCAATATGGCTATTGAAATCCCCTCATATGAATAACTTCTCAGTAGGTGGTACATGACGTATAATCTCATCCAACCCCTCCCAAAAGCACCGTTTAACCTCCTCATCTAGGCCCGCATGTGGCGTATAGGCACTAACGATGTTTAGGATGCACTATCCAACCACCAACTTAATAATCATCAATCTATCATTCACTCATCTAACCTCAACCATAGACTCTCTAAGTTCCCTATCCACCAAAATACCCATTCCATTCTTACCCTTCTAGGTTCCAGAGTTCCAAAGTTCATACCCCGTCCGTGTCCCTCGCACTCGACCCTGCCCACCTTGTCTCCTGGACACACGCTATATTGACCCTCCTCTTCTGGAGGATCTTCGCCA